ACTGAAAATATGGATGGAGGACCTCAGTTTAGCTTGTTTGTCGTGCTAGCGTCGAGCTAATACATATAAGGCAATATAGCATCGGCGCTCGCTAGCGCAAAGGCTAACAGGCTAAGCTGAGGTTCTTCTTCCATGAAGCATCCATATTTTCAGTTCCAGGCTGAGTCATTTCTACCTTCTCCTCTCTGTCAACGCTCTCTGGTTTCATTTAAAAGAGTCGATCATCAGATATTGTCCAAGATTAACCTTCAGGGTGGATATAGCTCACTAGCAGCCTCGCACCGAGGACCTATCCACGTCATCATTTACCCAGAATGCTTTGTGTGGAAATAAAATGGCCCCGTCCGTGTAATATATTTTAAAACTTTTAGTTTAAAAGTTATAAAAACTAAACATCCTACAGTTTTTTTACAGTCTTTATTTTACAAAGTGACCAAAATGAATGAAGTGAACTCGCGTGGAGAGTAAAATGGTTTGCAGTTGATAAAAAGATATTGCAGAGCAGGTAAGCAGTGTTGAGAGATCACAGACACGTTGTTGCACCAGCGGGTGTTGAAGAAGAAACACTGGATTTCATTAAGATGTTTCTTAAAGTTTAAAAACAATATTGGTAACAAAACAAAACTATTTTGTTAAAATGTCATTTTTCACACATTTATGCATGCCAGGGAGAACCGTCTGTCAGATGTTTACGTACCATAGTTGTGTTTCCAGAACCTGAATGAGCTGCTCAAACACAATGTTTTCTGCTGCCGCATACGAGCACAAATCTTTGCAAACAAGTTGCCATAATCTCTTCTCTTTAATTCCTGTGGAGAATCAGTTGATAATGTTAGTGATTGCTCAGTTTCTTTTGTTTTACCCCAGATAAGTTGTCAGAAGCTAACATTAGCACTGAACGTCAATCAGATGTAAACATACGGCAAGTCAGGAGTGACACAAAATACAGAAACGTGCCTCAGAGCGCTCACAAGACACGGTGGGGAGAAACTGATCTCATGCCCTGTGAATCGATGCTCCCAAATTTGAATTAAATCGATCCAAGATTGATTGAATCAATTATTATTTTTACCCAGCCCTACCATAGGCAGATAAACACTTCAGTGTAAAATAAACACCTTTGTTTGTTCATGCCAAATAGACAAACTGCCTCTTTCCATCCGTGTCATACTGGAGGCAGCGATTCGCAACTGTGATGGCTTTTACACAAAACAAGAGGACGTGCAGAACATCTTGGACTGGCAGCAGCAACAGGACAAAGCAGAGGTGCCATTCTCACCAGCACGAGTTCTTCTGCAGGACTTCACGTGAGTTCACAGGACTTTAAAGAGGCAATATAATGTGTTTCTTAAGCAGGTTTAATTCTATACCAAAATTAAGTAACTATGTCACCTACCTTTCTTATGAAAATGCTGTTTATGTGTTTAAATAAAACTTGACTTCACATCACCGCCGTTTTTTAACGCCTTGAAATTGGCCTCTGTCTCTTTAAGAACCTCATTCTGATTCCATCACGCCCATTTCTGTACGTCATCGCAACAGCTTCAGGCTGTTTACAACCTGTAGGGTCGTAGCCTATTTTGTTGTAATAATAATTATAATAATAAAGCAGCAACATTATACAATATCGGTTTTGGAAAATTGCCATGAAACTTACCATCGGACCGGAAAGTATGTTTTCTGATGAACCAGAGCGATTACAGAGGTGATGTTTCAGCTGGTAAGATTATTTCCCAGTCATCCTCACAGACACACACTGATTATAATAGAAGGTACAAATTCTAACTGTAGATCACACATGGACCAAACAATGATGTGAACAAAATGTGAGTTGTTTTTCAGCATACCTGGGCAGATGACAACACTAGTTGTGTTTCCATTACAAATGTGCGCAAAACTTTGTTGATATTCTGTTAATGTTGAAAAAACACAGTTTCACAACTGCGGTGTTTCCATTAAGTAAGAAATGTTATTAAAGTCACGTGAATACGTTTGTTCTCATGATAAGTCATTACAAACATGGCAGCGATGGATGTAAACACATAGCATGTTGCTACCACGACACTAGCGCTCATCATCAGAGGAGACGTCGGCGTCTTTTATCGAGGCTTTCCAGAGACAAGTCCCTACTTGGGAGCGGCTACGTATGCTGTGTTTTTGGGTAATTGTAGTCGGTGAGTTTACTATTTTATACTACTTCTGTGATATTACTACTACTTCTACTTCCTGTTATCTTCTTCATCATCGTCTTTTTCACCAGTAGAAACAGACGGTTGTTGATCACGTGACTCCCGTGATGCGATAAAAGTGTTTCCATTGCAGTTTTGCAAAAAACACCAATTTCGATATGACCGAAAAACCACCTCATCCTAGCGCAAAAACGTTTTGTTGAAAAACGTAATTTTTTTCAATATTGACGTGTTTCCATTGAGCAAATTTATTCTCGAAATTTTAATTTGCGCATTTTCATGGTCAGTGGAAACACAGCTAGCGTTTGTGTACTTCTGAATGTTGGAATTTCATCGTATTTTAGTGATAATATTATTAGTCCACTGTTGAATTCCCTTTTGTTCATAAAGCTGTCTTGATAAATAGGCCTGTCGCGATAGWCAATAAATCAATTAATTGCACGATAACTTTTTTTGAGGTCGGTAAAAAAAATGACGTCGATAAGTTTCATTTTCCTGCTTGTTTGTTTACTTCGTCTCTCTCATTCTCGTTCATTTACCAGTATTTTCTGTTACCATTTGACCCTAAACCTAGCCTAAACTTTACATGGGATGTGAACTGGGCTTATGTCCCCATAAGAAACAGTGGGTCCTCACCAGGCTGTGTAGTTTGTTTAATCTCTAAAGAGATGCTGCGCTTTAATATTGTTTATTCACTGTCTTAGTTGTGTGCGGTGTTTAATTTACATTTTGTTGTTCTTTTTTATTCAAGTGCATTTTTTTGTTAGACTGAGAGTCCACTTTGTTAAACATTCTTTAAAAATTAAAGTTTATTGATTAATTACACTTACATATTACGCTTTTATAATTATTAGTTGYAAAATGGTCACCAGGCAATATTATCGCTTATCGCAATAATTTGTGAGACAATTAATCGCCCAGCAAAATTTGTTATCGTGACAGGCCTAATGATAAAGTGACTGGCACATATATAACTTTTTTTTATTTCTGTCTGTGGGTTACTTCCAACTAATGAAGTCCAACCATATTTTAAGAACTGTCATCCTCGTGAAGATTAAAAAGAGGGTAGTCTCCTTGGCATCCAAAAAAACATTTCCTCAAAGGCATTTTTCAATCTGAAAAGGACTGGACTGAGAAGTAATTAGTATTGGAGCTCAGCAGGATTCATCCGGTATAGGAGGGGAGGGATGGGAGGGATTTTGGGGGTGTGTGTTTTGTTTTGTGTTTTTGTAAGTCTGTTCTTTTTTGTGGTTTATGTTAAAAAAAATTTAAAAAGACCTTGATCAAAAAAAAAAAGTATTGGAGCTCAGCAGACGCAGTTTCACCAGTTTTTGCTTTGTTGATGCCGATAGCATGCAGGGGTGGGGGAGTGTTGGGATACGGAAGCTTGGCGTAGTTTTCTTGGCATCTGAAAAAACATTTCCTCAAATGCATTTTTAATCCAAAAAAGACTGGACTGAGAAGTAGTTAGTATTACGAGTTCAGCGGACTTGCGGTTTCACCGGGTGTTTGTTTGCTAGTTGTTGCTGCTGATAGTCTGCAGGAGTCGTGGGGCGGGCCAGGGGGTTGGGAGGTGTGCTTTGTGATGAGGAAACTTGGCTTGGAGACACAAACCGTGTTTCTATCAAGGCTTTTTGATGCGCGTTTAGAAGTGTCGCATTAAAAATGCGAAAAAACGTTGGATGGAAATAGCAAAATTCGAAAAAAAATCCTCAATTCGCTAAAATGTTTTTACGCTCGCTTGAGTACTTTGCGCAAAACGGGAGATGGAAACACATTTGCTGAATAAATTCTGACGTAGCGCATATTTACCTCACGTGACGTTCAGCTGTTTCCCCTTTCCTACCTCGTCCCGGCGTAGTTGCACGTGCCTTTCTGCTGCATAGTTTAACATTGCGTTTATTTCCCTACGTCTCCTGGCAGCATTAAACATAACCTGTACTAGCTGAATAGACAGAATAATTACAACTTGCCCAATAGCAAGGCATTCACGAAAAAATCGCTCCATTGTCCCGAGATGATTAGCCTCGGCTAGTTAGCAAGTTTCACTTCATGTTTACTACCGCAAAGCTTGTCGCCAATGTCTGACATAATCGCGTGTTGCGTAGCCTCGTCTGACGTAATCACGCATTGCGTAGCCTCGTCTGAGGTAATCATGCGTTGCGTAGCCTCGTTTATTCACATCAGTCGAGAGGGAAACTAGATGGAAACAGTCTAGATTTTAATTTTTATTTGTTTAATTTTTTTGCGAATTTTGAAAAGTTTGATGAAAATTCACTCTACAACTGGATGGAAACATGATTACAGCCCAGAGGAGGAGCTGCTCCCAAAAGGCGGTTCTAGGCCCAACCAGTGGTTTTTACTCTCCTGCCTGGCTGACTCAAGACACTACAGGAGTTCTCAAACATGCATGAATGAGTCAACGCAACATTTGTGCATGTTTTTGATGAAAGGATAACATTATAACATGAAATAAAGCTAAAAAAAAATAAGTTGATTTGAAATTATATTGCCCCTTTAAGATAAATACACCCCTCAATGCTGAAATATAAAACCAGGAGCTGTGAATAAAAGTCTGAGTGACAGACTGTTAGTAAGAAGTTATGCTGATATATGTCATTTTTACCAGAGCTGTTTTAAGTTAATGTAAATAATTACTTGATGGGTTTGCATGTTTTCTTTGACAGTGGTATTCCTGCTATGGTGGACCTGGCAGCCATGAGAGACGCTGTGTCCAAACATGGTGTCGACCCCGCTGTAGTTAACCCTAAATGTCCCACGGACCTCATAGTAGACCACTCACTTCAGATTGATTTTAACAAGTGGTAAAATTAAGCAAATTCAACTAAATAAGAATATAGTACAGTTATAACATAGACAACCTGTTCATGGTGGTTTATTTTGTCCATAGTGCGATACAGAACACTCCCAACCCTGGTGGAGGGGACAGTCCAAACCAGACCCAGGCTTCTTCTCGCTCAACTCCCTCCAGGCCTCCGTCCAGAGGTGGCTCACAGTGTGGTGGCCAGCGGGGCTCTTGCAGTAAAACTGCCTGCAGTGACCCCCCAACCTCCTCGAGTCAAGCCCCAGCCTTTGTCCAGCAGATCGAGAACACACCCCTCCTCTGTCCTTTCCATCTGCAGCCTGTCTCTGAGTAAGTTCGTCACAATGGTTTTTATTGTAACCCAGCTTCATCTGAAGTGATAAACTCCACAGTATTTGTTTGTGAAGTGGATTTAATCACAAGGATTTCACTCAGTTCAACAGCAAGCTTCAAGTTTGCAAATTGCAACGTTGTGGTTTAAACAAATCATTTGTCATTAGAGAAAAAAACAGCTTTGAAACGGTTCTTACTGTTGTTTTTAAACGAGTCACGTGGTATGGATCTGTTTTAACAGAGGAAATATTTTCCTAAGAACATGTGTTTATTTAATTTCTTTTACCAGAGTTTCATTTTAGAAAGTTCACTGTGGCTTTGTTTCTTTTTCTGTAGAACTGAAACAGCTGTAAAAAATCAGGAAATGGAACTGATCAGAAACAAAGAGAGACTCCAGTTTTTCAAGGTACCTGAAAGTCTTTGTGCTCATGTTGAACAACAACAATATATTTAATAGTATTTAGAACATCTCTGAAGTGGTTATAAAGATTTTTATTGATGAGGTATATTTAAAAAAATTAATTGAAATTGGCACTCACTGACATGAGAACAAAAAATCCAGGGCTCTAGACTAACTTTTTGCACTGGTTGCATCATTTTATCTTAGGCGCACCAGCACAAAAGTTAGGTGCACCCAAATTTTCACCTGTGTTCCATCGAACATTGCAGGTTAGCTTTTTTTAAAATCACTGTCCCATTAAGACAATACTACAGGGCTGATAGTATTCTGGCACCATGCTGGAATTTTCCGGCTCACCTCGAGGAAAAACAAATTCAACAAAAAATCGGGCTCGCCCAGCCACAGATTTAACAGACATTTATCTGGACCTATCAGAAGCTGTGTTTCCATTGACCATGAAAATGTGCAAATTAGAATTTTGAAAATAAATTTGCTCAATGGAAACACGTCAGTTTTGAAAATAAATTATGTTTTTTAAAATGTTTTTGCTCTAGGATGAGGTGTTTTTCGGCCGTATCGAAATTGGTGTTTTTCACAAAACTGCAATGGAAACACTTTTTTCACATCACAGGAGTCACGTGAACAACAACCGTCTGTTTCTACTGGTGAAAAAGATGATGATGAAGAAGATAACAGGAAGTAGAAGTAGTAGTAATATCACAGAAGTAGTATAAAATAGTAGACTCACCGAC